GCTTATAGTGGTTTACAGCTTTAATATGAAGGAGACCAACCGAATTGGTAACATTAACGTTAATTTTAATAGGATAAAAACTTTATTTTACTTTCCTGTACCCCCAAACAAACCCCAACTTTTAACCTAAAGCCAGCAGCTCAGGCTAGGTCTCCAGACCTCCGTCTTTGAGAAACACAACCCAAAAAACCCGCAAAAGAGCCAAAGTTGATTAAAGGGCCTGTCTTTAAACGCGGAGCGAGGATCGCGCTGGGGCTGGGGACTCATCATGCCAGGGCGGCGGTGCGTGTGCCCGGGCGCCGGTCTGCGGCGTTGTGTCCCGGCGGAGCTGCGCGGCCGTGCCGAGCCGAGCCGTGCCGGGCCTGGCCGTGCGGTGCGGTGCCGGTGCCGGTGGCGGTGCGGGCGCGGAGCGGAGCCGAGCGGAGCCGCGCTCTCCTCCCGCTCGCTTTCTCTTTCCCCCTCTCTCGCTCGCTCCCTCTCCCGCTCGCTCTCCCCCCTCCCTCCCTCGCTCTCTCGCTCTCCCTCTCTCTCTCCTACACTGCCAGCCCCTGATGTGATGGCGAAGAAACCCCGTTGACAAGGCACTGCTTTTTCATGACGGTGAGTTTCCCTTTGAGTGTATTATAATTTTGTGATAAAAATTTCAAGGAAAAAAAAAACACACAACCTCCTTCCTCCCTTCCTTCGGGGAGGGAAAAGAGAGGGGGGAAATCTATCTCCAGACAGACAGAAAAGAAAGAGGAGCAAATTAACAGCCAGGAGTTGCCAAAACCAGGATATTAGGTTTCAGCCCAGAGAGCTATTGGCTCTGGGGCTATGTATATAAATATATATCTAGAGAGAGAGCGAGCGAGAGGGGAGACGAGGAGGAAGAAGAGGGATATTTTGTGGGTGGCTGTTGTTTGGGCAGATGTGGATTCACATGGAAATGAACTATATATATTAATTTTTTTTTTCCGCGAGGCTGGTGGTGGTGGCTGCTGAGGGCACTTAAAAAAAAGTTGTTTCTTAAAATAAAGGCGCGGGGGGGGGGGTTGAAGGGAGAGATAAGGTTTCAGGTCCGGGCTGATAGCTGCAGAGAGGGGAGAGGTTTGGGTTGGGTTTTTTTTTTTTTTTTTTTTTTTTTTAATTTTCCGCCCCCTTGATGGCCATCAAGAGAGGGATGGAAAAGAGGAGAGGAGGGAGAGAGAGTGTGTGTGTGTGTATGTGTGAGTGTGAGAGAGTGAGAGGGAGAGAGGGGGATAGAGAGAGTGTGTGAGGGAGAAAGAAAAATAATCTTTTCAAATCTCCTCCCTCTTTTTTTCCCCCCTCGTTTCTTTGCTTTTCTCTAAAGCTCTGTGGTCTGTGAAACAGTCTTTTCTTCCTCCTCGTCGGGAAAATGGAGACACTTCGTCTCTCTCCTGGCTGTGCAGCTGGGAAGGATTTTTCTTTTCTTTTTTCCTTTTTCGCTCATGGCTTGATTTTTTCCTTTCCCCCTTCCACTCGCCACCACCCTAATCTTGTCTTTTCTTTGAGCTTGTGTCTCAGATTTGTACCTTCTGGGGATTTATTTTTCACTCATTTTCTCGTTTTCGCTGTCGCCACTAGATTTGATTTGATTTGTTTGGTTTTTTATTTGCAATTTTCTCCGAATCGCTCCGTGCCTCCTGCTTTTAACCGAGGAATGGAAACCGTGCCGCTTTTTGTGGGTGCGCGAAATGCTCGGGCGGTAGGTTTGGGCTAATGCGCTTTTTTTTTTTGGTCTTTTCGGGATCAAGTTTTTCGATGTGCCTTTTATTTTATTTATATGATTTTTAAATTTTTCTTTTGGAGAGAGAAAATATTTAATTGTAACGCCTTTTTAAAACACAATAAAGCGTCTCTTTCTGGAGTGACCCCTTTGGTTTTGCTGTAGAGTGGATGTGAATCTGATCCTTTGTGTTTCTGGGATTATTTTGCGTAAAAGAAACAATATTTTGTAAATAGATTTTTTTTTTTTTTACTTGTGGCTTAAAACAGTAGTCGGTTGCGAAGGGGATTTTCTGAAATGGTCACTGTTCACATTTATTGAGTCATGGGCGGTATTCCGTATGTAAATTATGTTTTGCTTTTTGGTATTAATTGCAAAATTCAGTTATAGATAATGGCAGAAAACAGGTATAGAGACGTTAAAAGCCGGCCAAAATCGAACGACGTATAAGGGCAAGTTTGTATTTACTTAGAGCTGTTCCTAGTCACTGTGGGGAGCAATGAGATGTGGAGGCCTCTGCCTTTGGCCATTGCCTGCTCGCCGGTGCTCTCCCTCCTTGCCCGGCTCGGCAGCGCGGGGTGCCCGAGGGGCTGCAGGGGAGAGGGAGAGCGGCTCCGGCGGCGGCCCCGGCCGTGCCCGGGCTCGGCGGGCAGGCAGCCCCGGCTGCGCGGGGGAGCGGGAAGATGGCGCTGCCTGGCTCCCTGCCAGCGTTTGTTGCGCAGTTTCACCCGCTCTCCTCCCCCACGGGCGCCATTTTAAGGTCCTTTCTGCTGTCGCCGCGCCGTGTGGGGCGGTGCCGTCGCTCCGGCTCGGGCCATATTTCTGTGTCTTGTCTGGGAAGCGTTCCTGCCTTGGGCTTTGGGTGCCTCTCCCCGAAATCCTGAAAGCCTTGCCTCCCTCCCGTCCCCCACACTCCTATCCTAGTCCTTGGTCACCGTCTTGCGGAGCGGTTAAACGGGCTCGGCTCACACGGGCCCGTGCACGCAGCTTCAATCCCGCCGACATCCCTTCTGAGCTTGTTTCCTTACCTCTGAAATACGCGTTCCTTGTCATTCAGCGTATAGCTGAATTAAAAAATGATTTGGATCTTCTGAACGATGACCAAAAAATAAAACATGATATTAAAAAAGAAATCTACCTTTACAAAATGATCCGGTGTAGTACATAGGGCAAGGTATTCTTTGAAGAGCCTTCAATACCTGTACAAGTGCTTGCAAAAAGAAAAGCTTAGGTAATTTTTTGGTGGGTAGGTTGTTCATTTTGTTGCTGTTACTTTGTAATTTTTTTGGGGGGGGGACAAGCATATTTTCAAATTTTTATTGCTACTTTGTCTTAGATGAAGCTGTCTCTTCCAAATCACTTAATTTGGCAGCTCCACCTTTACGTATTTTTAGTTTTTTTAGGTGGTGTTTTTAGGAAGAGCCCTGCAAATACTTTTTTCCCAAAACCACGTGTTTTTTTTTTTTTAAAAAAACCATTTCTTTATGATCTGCTCTGAGCTCATGAGGCTTGAGTTTAATGCAAACATCACCTGTACCTGGGAAGAGCAAAGTGTGCTGCCAGACCAACTTAATGCTGTGCCCGCTAAGGAGTGTGGAATGCTTGTGTAGTTCTTGGGTTTATGTTTTTTGACACATCAGAGGAGGGCTTCCTCATTTTCGTTATTCATTCCAGATGGAAGTGGGAGATTTTTTTAAAATTAAGGAATAATCTTAAGGCTCTTTAAATTTTTTTGCCTGTTGATATTGAAGGGTTTTAGCTGACATTTCTGTGAGAGACACTGCTTGGAATATATTAAAAAATTGTCTGGATAGAAACTCTTTTTTTAAAAAAGACTGAGGACCTGGTAACATTTTAGCTTTGAAAAAAACACCAGCTATGAAACTTTAATTGTTTACAAATATTTTGAATGTGGAGTACAGGATTTGTTCACATATTTCAGAAATCTTACCTCATTAAAGTCATTGTTTCTTGAAGTGTTTGTTTTTGTTAACAGGCATCTTGGGATCAAGGCAGTTAATTCCTTTTTTTTAAATGGTAGCATACTTTTGAATAATAAAATTTCTCTCGTGTGCCCTAATGTCTGAAAGACTCTGTGTGGTTTTCTTCATTAATTTGTGAAAATAGTGAAGAAATGGCAGAAATGGGATAAAAATGACTGGTTTATGTTCTCTCAGGGCCTAGTACTTGCCAGATGACTATATATATATCTGTACACTGGCCTGCTTGTGTTAAAGCACAGTATATTCTCATCCTGCACTGAGAACTTTGTTGGTTACTATTTAGAAATTCCAGACCTGTTATTTTTAGATGTGTTTTATTAAGCCTGTCTGAGCTTAATAGTTTGTCCTTGTTGTTGTGAGCAGCACTTTGCATTGGGCATGGCTTGTTGACGTTGTGGGAGGAATGCAAAGCTCCACATGTTGATACAGTAGCCTGGTTGTGCTTCCATTCATTCATACACCTTGGCTTACTCACTGGTGTGATACTCGGGTGTTTAGGTGTGTGCTTGTTTCGTTCATACTTTGAGTGCTTGCTCTGTGTGTGATACCTGTATCCTTGAATTGAAAATACTGGTTGTGCTGTAGCTAAGTACATCACTTAATGAATGTGCAGCTCCCCTGCCCCAACTCCTTCACCTGTCCGTTTCCAGTACAGTTTATGTATTTAGTTTAATTGTACTGAGAGGAAACCCTCAAAGTTCCTGTAGTATAAGCTGCATTTCCAGTTTCCTCCAAGGTCCCTTTCTGTATTCATGATATTTTCCAGTAAAGTCTGTAGTCTAGAGCTGAAGAGCTTTGCAGTCAAGGATGCCTGGGTGTGCTGCCTGCTGTCTTTTCAGATTTTTGCTGGTGTACTTGCACATGGGTTCCAGAGAAGTTGTATCTACATAACTGCAGTTGAGTTTCACAGTGAGGCTCTAATGGTCAATGATCGTGCCTCTTCACGCTGCATTAGGCTTGTGGTAAATCTAATGGCTGGTGCTTTTTAAAGTAGATGTAGCAGTGAGTATGAAAGTGTCATTCCTGTCTAAGTAGTAGCTACAGAGCAGGCATAAGAGCCTCTTTGATAATGTAGTCACTGTGCAGAGAGCTGGCAGAATTCCTTACAGTGGTTCTGCTGGAATAAGCTGCATCTGTACTTGAAAGGTTTTTTTTATTGTCGTATACCTGGTCCAGCATAGACATGGGGTTATCTACAAAAAAAAGTTTTTCCTTTTTAATGGTAGAGCAAAAGCAGTGAAAATAATACTGTTCTAACATTCATTGTGACCTGCCACTATTTTAGTTTGAAAGACAGAGTGAGCAGTTTGGGGAAGGCCCTTGTTGCACCACCATAAATGCATGAGCACCAACCTGAACTGAGGTTTTTTCCAGGTAATCACATAGTTAAATGAATGTGTGTATCTTTATTTCTAACTGTTTATTTGTTCCTGCTTTCATTGTTGGGAAAAAGCCCAGCTACTCTGTCAGTATTATTTGGCTTTGTTTGAGAATTGTTGATGTTTTAGACAAAATAAAGATTACCATCATTAACTAGCACAGAGAGACTATCAAGGTTTTTTTATTTATTTCTTTCTTTTCTTGTACTAGTTAAAGATCTTCTAGAGTTAAGAGAATCCTTACCAAAAGAAACAGAAAGCAGGCAAAATCACTGTAAAAATGTCACACAGTAACCTTTCTCTCTTTGAAGGTACAGGGAAAGGGTGGTGAAGAGGGGGAAGGCCTGGAGAGAAAGATTTAACTTCATTACAAGAGACTGATTATTTTTGTGAGGTCTTTATGCCTTGTCTCAGGTGGAACTTGCAGTAGTTTTACTGTGAACTTGATCCAAGCGTGGAATTTCGAGATTTGGTGTTGGAGCTTGAATTTGAGATAAGTCAACTACAGAAGTTATCTTGGCTCCACTGAAATAGGTGGTGAAATCTCCAATTCAGCAAGGCATTGGCTTCAAGGACAGTGTGGAGGATTTTCAGCTTGGATTTGGGGTGTTGATATGGACTGCACTGCTGAAGTAGTTACACATCTGTCAATTCATCCTATTCAATTTTCAGTAGATTTCCCAAACATAATAACTGGAAGGAGTATAAATGGCTGTTCAGCTAATTATTTGCTGTTGGTAGCAGATAGTAGCTCATCTGAGCTGTGCTTGTGGCAAAGATTGTTTTTTAAACTAGCGTGGACTAGAGTGGCAATGAAAAGGTATTAATTGGGCATTGGTTTATAAATCAACTGGGAAATGATCTGTTCATAAAGAAGTTATGGGACTGCAGAGTATTTTTTCAAAATCTCTGAAAACTACATGCTCACAATGACAACTATGAAAGTGGAGTATTCTCGAGTAGAAACAAGGTAAAAACCATCTGAGGGACTGACTCCACGTTCCTTGGAGTATTGTTTTGCACAAATAACGTGCTAACAATCTCTACTATAGCATACAATAGTTTGTAGAAATGCTTAAGAGCATCTAATATCTTCTGGGCGTGTGAATGTTTCCTTCCTAAGGAGCTGCTGAGATCACACCTCCTGTGCACCTTTTGGGGTGAAATCGGGACCTTTCAAAATGTTTTATGAATACTGAAATTCCCAAGGAATTGTGTATGTGGTGGAGCAACTTGGAGGACAGAGCCCAAAACAGGCCATAGCCTAGTGATGAGGATAATCAGTGCTGGGGAAAATGTCTGACTGAGCCCAGCCTTTAGCCTGGGAAATCCCATGGGATAAGGAAGCATCCTGACTTTCAGGCTGAGGTTGCTCTGGATTTTCTCTGTGTGGTTTAAAAAAGTCTGTTTCCTGACAAAAATCTTGTCAAGATTTTAGTATTGCCAAGAGTGGCTCTGGATGCAGTAGGAAAAAGCTTGTATTGAATAAATTAGAAATTCTGTGCTGAACATGTGTGTCTGAGGGAAATCAGACTGTAGAAAGCCACACTGGGGGTTTACACGTGTACTTGACTGTAGCTGCATTAGCCTTTACCATACATACTGTTAGTTGAACTGCACATTTCCTTTTTTTCCTGTAACATACTAAAATATCACGGTAGTTTTTGGAAGTTTGATAAGTTACCACATTTGGCACACTCAAATTAGTATTTTTTTTAATGGCGTGCGAAAGGGAAATGTAGGAGTTGGATAAACATCCTATTGTAGGTTGTCCGTGTTTTCGTGTGTGGTGTTTATTTGCCCTTCTGTGTGTGGAGCTGGTATTTCACAATTGTGTGAGGATCCTGCCTGTGCTCTTAGGTGCTCATCTGCCAGATCTTAATTATCGTGAAGAGGCATAATGTTATGCCTGGCAGTTCCTGAGAGGAAGCACTTTTTGTGTTCCTTTTCTTGTTGCTGTTTTTCTGATTCCTGAATAGTTTCTATTTTTTAGAGCAGTTTTTCTTAGAAAGATCCTACAAAATTCTTTTGAATATTTAAAATTACCAATTTTTCTCATACTCTGTTACATACAGATGTCTTTGAAATATTGATGATTAAATTCTACAGCTAATTTCAGGCATTGTAAATTCATCTTAGGAGTACTGTTCAGATTTAGATTCTTGGAATGAAAACTTATTTTTGTATAATTGGAAAGTTAGTGCTTGCATAATGAACTGTGTTACTACTTTGTTGACTCTTTTTTAGAGCACAGTTCCTGGTAGATTTTGCAATAGTGTAGTAGTTGCTTTTTTTGATTACTCTGGAAAAGAAAATATTCATAAGGAGTGATTTCACATTGTAGGATATAAATACAGCATAGTTAGTTTATAAGTGAGTAGTTAAGTCCTTGTGTTTTACAAAGTGCATTTTAAAATGAATATTTTTTTCCTTAGTCCTGTTGTCCTGAAGTGACATTTTTTGGATAATTATGACTTTGGAGTGAGGTTTAGTTTGGAATGAATTTTTCAATATTTACCTCTTTTCCCTTGACTACTGTGTCATTATTCTGCAGCATATAATTTTTTTACAGTAATGAGAGGGGGAAGTAGAAATACCTCTTAATAGCAATTTTTGTATTCCATCCATGTAAAAATGAATTCCTTGATAACAGAGGGCTTGACATGGAGAGCAGCTTTTAAGTTAATTATAAGATACAGTCTTGGTTACTTACAAGAATCTGAAATTCACTTTGCAGGATACTAGATTGCTCAAAAGAAGTATTGACTTGAAATTTAAGAATAAACTATATGGTAATAAGAGTTTGAGTTGATACTCCTTTCTTACACTTGTGTGTTGCAGAGAACGCAGATGAGGTCTGGTTGTTCCTGTGTAGGAGCTTCCTTCACTGAATCCGAGGCTGCCTGTTGGATAGGAACCTGAGACAGAGCTGACAGGGTAAGGCAGGCAGTGGTTACAGCACCTTAGCAGCCTGTAGTGCACACTAAGATGATATGTTACTCAGTGGATGAGAAAACAGCTCAGGCTTTTCCCCTCTAGTTCAGAAGCACACAGAGCAAAATATTAGCACTGTGGAAATTAATGAGAGTTGGGGTGAAAATTTGTGTGGGAAGGACTTCAATTCTGGGTGTTTGACTTCTGCAGTCAGTGTGGAGTCACTTAATGCTGCTGCAATCCTTTTATGTAATTTAGCAAGAGATGGGTTGGGTTAAATAGACTTATCTTCCATCTGTGCTCAGAAAGGTTGTGAGGGATGAAAATGGCATGAATTTGATGTAGCACACTTGGTTCACAGCAGTATTATTCTCTGCAGTGACTGTTGCAGTAACTGATTTGTTCTGGTTTTGTTGTTGTGGTCATTGTTTTTCCAGTGGCAATGCATTTCTTCAGATATTCCGTAGTGAAGTTACTGTTGGGATTGTAGATTAAAATTCTGAATGGAGAATGATAGAGCAGCAGAACAATTCAGAAGATTTGACGGGACAGGTTCATTATAAAGCATGAGAGAGATCTCATCAGAATTCTTGCTGACAGGGTGTGTACAAAGGCATACTGAAGTTGTGAGGGTTAGTGGGTGTATGTCAGAACTCCAACAGTAATTGCTTCAGGTGCTGTATATGTTACTGTGTGCAAGTTTGATTATCTCCCATTATAAAGGTTTAGCTATAGCAGTCATTACCTTGCTCTAAAGCATCGATTTCCAAAGGTCAGTGTTCACTCTCAGGAGTCATGCTGCCGGTCAGGGATTGATCCCATGTATTTGCACAAAACTTTTAAGGCTCGATTTCTCCAACAATTTTGCAGATAAAATTATTTATGTGTGACTTACCAAGTTTTGATGTTGATTATAACACACTTTTTGGAAATTACTGTTACAAGTGTTGCTCTTCTAAGCTATCCATTATCTTGTGCTTTTTACAGAAAGTAAAAATAGTGGCTTATAGCTTTGTACCTGAAATGATCTATTAAGGCTGTATGGAATTATAGGTGACTTTGAGAAAGGAAAATAATTCTTTTGTGGCAAGCTTGAATATAATTTGAGTAAATTTGAAATCTAGTGTTTACAGCTCTTAGAATATGGATAGTATATGAAGCATGTGTGAATAGTTGGACTGCTTCTGGGCAAATCTGGTTTTAATGACACTGCAGGTTGTAGACCCTGCATGTGTTACATTATACTGTGGATTGTGTAGCATGTTGATTAAAAATTTAGGCTGGTAAGGACCACTGGGGGTTACCTGGCCCTGTCCCTTGCTGTAAGTAGAACAAGCTTCTCAGTTAGAATAGATTGGGCAGGGCCATTTGAGTTTTGAAAATTTCCAAAGAGGATGATTCCACCCTCTTGCTTGAACATTCTTCTTGTGAACAACCCTTGCATCAGGTTAGGATTTTCTGTGTTACATGTTTTGGCTCTTGCTTTGTGTCTTGCTGTGTGTTGATGAGAAGAAAGCTGCTTGGCTCATCTTAGTGCCCCTTTTAGCAGGCTTCAGGTAGCACCTGGTTTTGCCTTCTGTTGTCCAGGCTGAGGAAAGGCAGTTTCTTCACGTGACCACAAGATTTTACTTGCACTCTGTTGGATTCCTTCATGTTGTTTTCTATTTCTTTTTAGAGCTGTGTCTGTGTGTAAAAGCCAAGCAGATTTCAGCTGGGAGCTCACAAGTGCTAATAGGAAGGGAATAATCACTCCACTGGACTGCTGCCTGCACTGTGCTAAAGTGAGGGTGGTGGTTGTATTCACATGTGTGCTACAGCCCCACACGTGCTTTAAGCTGACTGAAGCACTGCTGCCTTCCCCTTTGTTTAACTACCCGTCCATCTGATCTGATTCCCTCTCTTGTGCTGGCTCTAGCATTGCTGTAGCCCTGTGGCAAGCCAGAGCCAATCAAGAAGCTCATCCTAAGTTGAAGCAGATCAAATGTATTTTATCAGATCAGGTTTGGGTTTTTTTTTTTTTTTTTCAGATGACTCTTCAAAGCCTTGAGCTGACCCAGGGAAAGTGGATGAGAGGAGGGCAGGACTGCTCTATTCATCTTCTATTGCTCTTTGCTCTGTAGTAGGTCAGAGTGTTGAAATGAAGGCAGAGGCCTTAAGGCCAAGTAATAAGAGTGTCCCAGAGGATTGACTTGCATAGCTGGGATTTCCTTGTCAGTTTTATTACTTTCGACTTCTTTTATATTCTGTTTGGGAGCATGTGCTGAAGGGCACTCTGGTTATTTCCCAGAAGGGATAGGCAGGGCTTCTTGCACAAGTACACGTGATCCAAGTGAAATATATGCTATATTCACCAGTGTTGTAGCAGAGGTATGAAATAGAATGGTGTGGGCTTTGCTAATAAGCTACAGGGAATATCTGTGCCGAGTTGTGACTAATTAGTGAGGATTGCTCTCTGTAAATTAGTTGGATGCACCAGCAGGGCTGAATTTGGCCTACTTCTTACAAGCAGATTTTTTTGTGGCTTTTTTTCTTTTTTAAACACTGTAGACCAGTGTTGATAATTAGATATTTGCTAGGCTACATTGTAACAGTGCTCCAACAGGCTGTGTGACTTTTCCCTAGCTGTCTCTAGTGTGGGCTCTTGGCAGGACCCTTGATGCATTGATGGATCCCAGTGGCCCAGCCAAGCCTCACCTAGAGCCTCCACTGGCTGAAGTCTCCAAAGACTGATCCAAACACAGAAAGGGTCTAGGCCAGCGGTCTCCAATATTTTTGACCGCACACCCCTATTGGTAAGATTTTTGAGCATGCACCCCTAATCTATGTGTATTAATTTGCATACAAAAGTATATGTGTGTATATTAAAACTTTATATACTGGTGAAATTTTAGTATTTTCTTCTTGCACCCCACTGGATTTTTTTGCACACACCCCACTTTGAAGACCACTGGTCTAGGCTTCACAACTCTTAACTCCACTCATTGTGGCAGGTTTTATTTTCAAACCCTCATGGCTTAATATGGTTTATAGCCATTTCATACATCACTCATTGTTTTGACCCACTTACTGTATGTTAACAAACAGTGACGAGGACAGAAAACTAGAAAAGATGGTTGATGAGAAAAGTGACAAACTTTTCTATCATTTGTGCCGTAGAAAAGGCTTTAGGAAAATTCCTCAGCATAGGCTTGCTTTTCTTAACACACTTTTAAATGATCATCTATGTCAAGGTCACATGTTGCTTAAGTTCCTCTTTTTGAAGTAGACTGAATAACTACTTTTGGGTGAATTTGCTTTTGGGTGTGCAAGTACTCTGACTGTTTGCTGCTGCCTCTGTTGCCCTGCTGAAATTAGCAGGGCACTAATCGTTTGGTAATCCTTGTTGAAAATAGGCATCAGTTAAAAAGATTTAAACCTGTGGTGTCCTGGGCTGGGATAGAGTTGATTTTCTTCCTAGTGGCTGCAACAGTTTTGGCTTTAGGATGAGAATAACACTGATTTTTTTTAAGTTGTTGCAAAGCAGTGCTTGTACGAAGCCAAGGCCTTTTCAGTTTCTCATACTGCCCCACCAGTATGGGGGCTGATTTGTGTCTGCAAGTAGTAAAAAATACTGTGACCAGGACTACAGGGGCCCTGCCTCCAGCTGGGTGAAAGAAGGGGACTACCAGGTTTGACTACCAGGTTTATTGGGCTGTGGATTTGGCACATGAAAGCCACAGGACATACAGGACTCTGTTTCCACAGCAACCTCGTAGACACCTAGGCCAAAAAGTTGGATATATCATCTTCCCTATCATGCATCAGCCTCTGGGAAAATCAGACAATATAATGGACTGTTAAAGGTCACTCTGAGAGCAAGGGATACTGGGACATTCAGACATTGGGATATCTGTTTATCAAAAGCCATCTGGTTAGTTAACACTAGGGGATCTGCTAAATGGGCTGGTCTTGCCCAGTCAAAACTTTCACATACTGCAGAAGGGGGGATAAAGTTTCTATAGTGCACACAGAAAATTATGTTCTAGAAGGCAATCTGGGTTGTTCTGTCTTGGGCAAAGGCAGACCCATCCATGGGATTACATTTGCTCAGGGACCTGGGTGCACTAAGTGGGTAATGCAGAAGGATGATTAAGTCTGATGTGCTCAAGGGGATTTGATTTTGGGTAAAACAACCTATGAGGATGTTAATTGCTGTATAATACTGTATTTCATCACTACTCTGGTTATTTTATGCCATATCAATGGTATTGCTGTTAGAGTTGCTCAGATTAATGAAGAGTGAGTGCTGATGAAACCGAGCAAAGTGCAGCGATGATAGAACCAGACAAGCACAGCAGGAATGGAACCAGAGTTCAGCATGTCATAATCCCAACAGTTTACCCAATTTACCATCTTTCACTTTGAAGGACTGATATGACAGAGCCCAAAGTCCTGGACTAAATGAACCCAATGGACATCTTAGAGGGATGGCCCATAGATTATGGGCCTGTATGTCTGCACATATGTCAAAAGACAGGAAAGGTGGTTGTGGTTATGTGGGATGTGTTGGAAAGTGTGGGATCTGGGCATGATGAGGTTGGTATAGAATAAGGGGTAGATATCATTCTGGTGTTGACTGGGGTAGAGTTAATTTTCTTTCTAGTACCTGTGTTTTGGATTTAGGATGAGAATAACATTGATAACACACTGATGTTTTAGTTGTTGCTGAGCAATATTTGCACCAAGTCGAGGACTTTTCAGCTTCTCACAGCACCACCAGTGAGGAGACTGGAGGTGTGAACAAAGCTGGGAGGGGAAATAACCAGCACCCCAGCTGACCAAAGGGCAGTGTCATACAATGGCATCATGTGGAACAATAAAACTTTATTATTGGTGGTAAACTCCTAGGAGTTTACAGTATGTCGGGCAGATTTTTCTTGTATCACATTTAGCTAGTAAAGCCAAGTAATGTTCAGTAATGGGTGTGATAGTGAAGATTATGTATTACCATTAGCATTTTCTCACACTGGTATTCTCATGCATTTTATTTTCCTTCTGATCATTCTATGTGAGTTTTGAAGAATTCAGTGACCTTAACAAATTTATCTTAATTTGTATCAGTTGTTTTAATACTTCCAGGAGTATTAATTGAAGCAAGTTCTATTGTGTCACTTCAGCTAATGGTGAGCCTTTATTATAATAAAATCACAGAGAATAGTTGGTTATGTAAAGCAAAGACATTTTATGGTGTTTAAATAATGCTGTCAGTATTGCCATAGACACATGGGCTGGGAGATTCAAAAGTAGGTTTGCTGTGTAAAAACAAGGATAATTTGTACTTTCTGTAGATTTTTGCTTTTGGTTAGCTAGGAGGCTTTGGAACCTTGTTCTTAAAACATGGATATGCTTTCAGCAATTGGAGGAAATAACTAGTTGGTTGTAACCAACTAGTTACAACTAGTTAGTAGAAAGTAAGTACTACTTACTAGATAGTATTATCTTAGTAATATACATTTGCATTTAAATTTTGTGGCATCCTACTATGCCATACTATTTGCTTAGCATTAAATTGCAGTATCAGTGTTCAAGCTGGTGGCTCTAAGCAAGAGTAAGCAGCTGGAACACTGATTTGTTGTAGAAATTCCTTTTCTTAAGATGCATAATGACCTCATGAATGCTGATTTTTATCAACATTGAGGTAGTTCTCTGTAGCTGTGCTTTGTTTTTCTGTCCTCCCTGAGAGGTGATACTGAATGATCCTCACACTTATATGGGCTCCATTTCTGCTTCACCCTCACTATAAGCTAAACCACAGAGAGAAAAAAACCCAAAAAAGGCTCTGCAGTGTACAGGACACGGTACCCTCTGCTAGTCTACAGTATAAGCTATTTTCAGAACCAGTGGAGTATAGAAAAATTCCGGGAAAGAGGTTACAGAATCACAGGGCAGCCAAGGTGGCAATGAATATCTGGAGATCATGTTATCCCCTGTCCTCCCCTGTCCTGCTCAGAGCAGGCCCAACCAGAGCAGACTACTCAGGGTCAGAGCAGACAGGTCGAGGCTGTGGTCCTGCTGTGCCCTGGGTAACTCCAAGGATGGAGACTCCATAAGCTTGCTGAAAAACTTGTGCCAATATTGGGCTACCCTCAGAGTTTTAAAAAAGTTTTTTCTTTTGTCTACATAGACTTTTTGGTTTATTTTGTTTTGACTTGTGCCCCTTGCCTCTTGTTCATATGCATAACACTCTCCTGCCAAGTATTTACACACAAGATAAAGATTTTCCCATAGCTTTCTGTTCCTCAGGCAGAGCTGTCCTGGTGTTCTCAGCCTCTTATATAGCAGGTGCTTCAGTCTCTTCACTGTTTTAATTGTGAAGATCAGAATGAGGAATGATTCACATGATCTCTAGTCAGGGGAGAACAAGTTTCTATTTGGCAACAAGTACAAGTTAAATGAATGAATTAAAGCCAAAGCTATGTTAAAACATGAGTGGTAAGTATCACAGTACAATTTTTAAGGGAAGTTGAGAAAAAAAAGCATGGAATGCAATGATCAACTTGATGTGAGTAGAAAATAAGGTAAAGATGAGATTGGATAACTTAAAGGAAGCCAGGGTACCAAGAGGTTTTGGAAACTCTGACATCAGTTGATAATTGAAACTGGTGGATTAGAGTGGATGGTCCTGACAGGTACTGACCAGGACAAGGGGGATGATATTCTGAGATGAATAGGAGAGCCCAGAATGTACAAACAGAAGCTTTGAAGGAGCAGCAGTTGGAGGGGAGAGTGAGTGTCAGAGTTCTTGGTGCAGCAGTCCCTGATGGAGTAGGCAGCGTGTGAGGAGTTGGTGATTGTGACACTGTGAGGTTTAAAATGCTCTGCATTGGATACTTACCCTCACATTAGGCAGTGCACATGAATTCCCTCCCTACCCATTGTTAGAAGGACTGTCAGAACTAGGTACTGTTAAACACAAGTATATTCCTGAATATTGCTGAGGAGAAACTGCAAGTGGTTACATTGTCACTTAGCTGTTGCTAAGGGAGGTCTGTTAGAAAACAGTGTTTCTTTTCATGCTTAGTCATGTCTTGACTATATTTTTGTTTCCAGACTGTAGCAGCATCCTCATGACACTGACCTGAGTTTATTTACCTTTTTGGCTGCTCAGTGTTACAGCCACTAATTTGTAACAGTCTATTTAGGCTCCATAGTGTTTGCTTATGCCCTCACTGAGATGAGCTGGAAATAAATTCCTATAGAAACATTTTAGTTGGAGTCTTAAATTGCATTAAGTGTTGATATTTTTACTGCTTTAAGTCATAACAGTTCTTTTTAATCAGTTTGGTTAATCATTTGTCTTTCTCTGATTTAAAATTCTAAAAACCCCCTGGATAGTAAAACATTGCATGGGATTTTGTAAATCTTTGCCTATAACTGAATTTGATTTTGAGATACATATCAAATATACGTCCTCTCCTTTATTCTAGTTGTCATGGATGATGACGATGATGAATCCTGTCTCCTTGATCTTATTGGGTAAGTTTTCCAGAAGAATTATTGCAGGAAAGTTGGGAATAATTTTGTGAAGTCATCTTCTAGAAGGTGATTTTGTCTCAATATTGTCTAAAGATGAGGTGACTTGCAATGAAATGAGCAGACATGCTTCACATCTTCCATGTGGAAATAGATAATTCATTAATACAATGCTTGTATTTTAAGGGAAAAGTAAATTTTTTTCTTAATTATAAATACTTGAAGATTTAATTTCTACTTATAATATGCATTTGAATCTAAATGTTAGAAAAAAGAATAGCTTTCTGTACTGTTGTATATTCACAAGAAACAAGAATTTACCATAATTTTGGTCAAAGATCAAGGGACAATTTTAATAAAATAGAGACTTTGAATGGTCGTGTGGGTTGTTGGGGTGGTTTTTTGCCCCTCCTCCTCCTTATTTCCATAGCAGATTAATATGAAGTTTTATAATTGTCTATGGCAATCTCCAAAAATAATTAGGATAGCTGAAGCACGAGGAAGTTGTGTGGATTGTCTATATGAGAAGTTGCCTTCCTTTGGCTACCATTTCTATCAGTATTTGAGAACAGATAATATGCCAGAAATACATATAAAACACAAGAAGAGACTTGAGCTTTTCATGCTCAGTACTTGGTTCAAACTCTGCTAGAAATTAGACTGACATCAGTCTCATAGCAGCTGCTAAAAGATCATTCCCAGTTCATACAAGAGTTTTTTAGAATCTTAAGTGTAGGAAGTAAACAGGCTTTTTACCTTTTTCACACACCTGAAAACTTCCAGTGGAACCAGTGAGAGGTTTAACTTCAGAAAGACCAAACTCCCCCCCAGTGGCTGCTGTAGTTTGAGGGCTGCTCTGGATGCTGTAGCAAAGGCAGTGCCAGTAAAGGCTCAGTTCCATTCTGTGAAGTAACTGTTGTGTGAGGTTACTGATTGTGGCCATGTGAAAACACTTCCTGCCTGGAACATAAAGATGATCATGGGACAATTAAGTACTCTCTCGTGAGCATGAATCATGAAGATCCTGCTACAAGATCACAGGTGGTCCAGAAAATGAAGTGCTCTCTATACAGATGAGTGTTGTGAAAAATTAGAGTGTTCTTGCTGCTGCTGGCAGCAATTATTGTCTTAAGTATCTAGAAGAATGGAAAACAATTTTTTTTCATCTGATCTGTGATTTGGTAAGTGCCATTTAAAATTCCTCCCTTACTAGAGACAATATTTAAGGTGATAAAGTGTTCTTAATTTTTAATTGTGTTTTTTACTGTTGAAAGACAGTCAGGGTAATTAGTATTAAATGGCCTGGTTATTTTACTGATAAAATTAATGATGATAATAGAACCCTATACGAAATAATGAATTCTGTGGTCCTTAATTTTGAAATTCAGTGAAATCTACTATGAAAATGACATTTTTATTATAAAATACATGTAACCACTTCAATATTGTAAGCATAATAGTACCATAAAGTCTCTGCCAAGTATTATCTAGCATGTCTTTTGTAAACTCATGAACACAGTTTGTTTTTTAGAAGAAAAAAAAAGAGAAGAGGTGTGTTTGTCCTTTTAGGAGAGTAGTTGTGAACCTGAAAGATCTTTGACTTTATGCCTCTTTATTTTCTAGGACTATCAAACAAGAAGGAGACATTTTTAATTACTACTTTTTTACATGATAATCTCCTGTTTCTAAAAAATGTTTTATTATTACTTGTTAATCAATAAACATGTTTTAAAAATTAAAGAAATCCATGTCAATTTATTTTTTATGCTAAGGGAAATGCTGTATAATTGTTGTATTAGAATAATCCCATGTAACACAGCCTTTTATTCTTTTTACTTGGTCTGTAGGTACAGCTAAATTAATGTAATTATATTTGTTTCAATTTCTGACACTCATTCTGTCAGATTACATCTTTAATATGAGTTCTATTTAGTACTAAGTTAAATACATTGAAGTTCATAATATTTAGTCAATTATTTCTATGGTTGGTTTCACTTGGAAAAGATGCCACTTTTTCTTCATGAGGAGACTGTTACTCTGGCAGTCATAAACTTTTATTAACTTGTGTTAAAGGTGCCAGAAAGCCTGTCAAAGAATCAGGTTTATAAATATCCTATCACTAGATGCTAGCTAAACAAGGCATTATAGTTCAGCTATAGAAGAGGTGGTACCTGTTTTAGTTCTCACATTTTTTGGTGGTAGTATGTTCCTTAGGTTTTATACTGTGTGCTGTCATATAATACCATGTTTTTCAAGAGAATATCATCCTCATAAAGGGAAATACAGTAGAGTGCAACTAAAATTTCGTGATCAACATAGTTTACTTGCTTGAAATGCCTTCAATATGGCAGCAGATATGATCAGCATCTGGAAGTTGTGCTGGTAGAGAAACACAGATTCCCAGATGATATAAACTTTCAGCTTTGCACTGGATTCAGTGAAAGATGTGTTTTTACTAGAAACCTGATTTATATGAGTACAGTATGTGGCTTAGTTAAATGAGTCTTAGTCTTAGTTAAATTAATAAAAGGGACTTCTAAAAAGTGTTAACTTCTTTTTTTTTTCCCCTTCAGGGACCCACAAGCGCTGAATTATTTTCTACATGGACCTAGTAGTAAATCTGTAAGTAGCATTGCTATGTATTAGACATAGATAAACTTCATTGAGTGTGTTAGTTCTAAACATGATTTTTGTCTTTTACCAGAGCAATGAAGACTTGACTAATGCAGAATATTCTGTAGCCAACTCAAATTCAATTTTCGCCAACTCCAATGTAAGTGGGCACGAGATAAATTACATTACTATTGAGATTGCATGCTTCTGTATGGCTTTTATTATAAAACTGAATGAAGTAGATGTGGGTTTCAGCTTTTTCATGTGAAAATTCTGAATACTAACATAGAACCTATCTTGTGCTGTTAGTAATTTTAGGTATTTCAGTGGGGAATTAATTGAAAAATACTGCACTGTTGGGAGGTGTTTTGTAAATATGTAAAGCAGCTTGCTGAGCAGTGAAAATGCTCTCTGATGTAATTCTCCTGTAAACTGCACTCATGGCTTTAGCGATTGTAGGAGTAGTAGTGCTCAAAGATAGGCCTTGAAAGTTAGTCATTCACATGCTTCCTGTGTGTGTTAGGATGCCTTTTTGTTTCTCACTTTATGTAGATTCAGAGCCGGCAGTTTTGTAAAATTAATGAGTGGGTTTTTTTCTCCCTTTTTGTATTTTTTTCTTTAGGCTCATGAGGTAGTTTGGGATGTGTTGTTCGTGTAACTTCAATGTTAGGGAAGTTGCTTTAAATTCATTAGGTGTTGCAAGAAGCCTTCAGTGTTCCTTCTTGCCAGGAGTTTATTGCAGCCCTGGACCATGTTTCACACAATAAGGTTGTAGAATCCCAATCTTTGGTGATAAGTTCAAGGCTGATCTGCTCTAGTGTGGGTGGTAGTCATGTTTTGAGTAGAACATTGGACTGGATGACTCGAGATTCTTTCAGACCCACATTTCTTTGGTTTCATTGGTGTGTTTTTAAAAACAACTGAGTTGTTAATCTCACAATTCAGTTACTTGAATACACAGAATAGGATTTTCTTGGTCATTCCTCTTGCTATTGTACTGTTACCTTGACTCATGTCTGTTTGTTCCATATTCATAATAGATACATGGATACACTTTTAGGTGTGTAGGACCTTGAACAATTGGCATGAAGAAATTCTGAAAACTCTTAGTGTGTGTGGGGAACTAGTGACTTTCCTGTAGGCACAGTAGTGTAATGGGAAGTGTCTGTCCTGTCCTTCCCCTTTCAGGATTGTTATTAAATATTGTAGAAAAAACAGACAAGCTGGTTGAGATAATGGTAATGAGGGAGTAGGGTACCCAAGAGTAACAGGGCATGCCCATTTTTCAGCTGATGGGGAACAGTGGTTTCAACTTGGTACCAGGCTGGCCATTAGCAGACAGCAGCTTCCTGTACACAGGAGTGGCAGAGGTGGGGTTTGAAGACTTATCCTAAGAAAAAACAGGTTTGGGAAAAAAAGGGTGACTTATGACATGCAGTTGTCATGGCCTAGACTTCCTAGTTGTTCTTTATAGACATCCTTCTGATAAGCATGATTAGGTGGGCAGGAGTCAGGTGTTTCTGGTGTATTTTCAAAAAGTCGGTTTCTTTGAGAAATTTTGAGGGGCAGTGGGAGATTGTGGACAAGGTGGGTTTGTTGCCTAGGGAGTAGCAGTTGAAAGAAATAAAAATATTTGGTGAAAGATAAGAGTTTTTTGGTATGAGAGTATGAGATTAGGGGTGGGTAATCTAGAAGGCAGGTGATCAGAGGAGCAGGGATTCCTAGTGTATGTTCCTAGGATGACATATTACAGTTTAATTCTCAGCGTGCTCTGTCCTCATCCATTTATATCTTCATAAGGAACATCTGTGACATCTTCCCTCCTCCCTCCTGTGAGAGCCCTGTGCTGACATAAGTGAAGAATGACTTGATTATAAATGCAGATTCTTACAGTTCATTGGGAAGGAACAAGTGTTACCATAAAAAGATGTTTTCCCAGTCCCTACTTATAAAATGGGATACCTGAAAAGTTACGTGCTTCCAAAGCTTTTGTCTCTAAAGTTTTTGCGGATACTGAAAGTTCTGTCTTTGTATATATTCAGAATTGCTACCATGAAGTAGGATAGACTGTCTTGCTGCCTGTCTCATGCCTTTCAGTGGCAGAGTTTACAAATTCAGTGTCGAGGGTTCAATGCCTCAGCTGGTAAGCATGCTCAGCCAACACCTAACACAAGCAAGATGAAGTTCCTGCTGACTGAAGGAAAAGAAAGCACTATCCACTCTTCCCACTTGCTTATACTGGCCCCCCATGCCCCATCCCAACCTTCTCTGAGTTGACTGAGTCTGTACCACCTCTGCTGATTCCAAATTGGATTATCATGAGAGGCTTCCCTAGCCATTGCCCTGTTATCTGCCTTATACTGGGTGGCTGCTTTCATTTTCCTGTTACAGTATAATAGGACAGCATAAGAGAGCAGAATATTCATGGAGCCAGTGAGAATAAGATTCTTCTTTTTGGTCAGCAGATTCATGAAGATGCAGAGGCTTTGATTTCTTCTTGAAATTAGCATGGTATTCTGCATGGCTCTTCTGAATCTGGACACTATTGATTCAGATGTAAATTTGGAAGGTTCCATTTTTGCATATGAAATTGTTTTCTAATGTTAAATAGTCCTGGGAGCAGGGAATGAAACTTGGGATTCTCTGTTCCAGTGGGAGAGTTTTAAGCTATTATTATTGATTGTGTGTAATATTATTTATTAGTGTTATTATTGGTAGTAGTAATAGTTGTATTGTTTGTACTGCCTGGGATAGCATTAGTCAAACTGTTTAAGTTTGGTCATTTCCTTAGAGACAACTTGCAGATGCAATAGCGAATTCTCCTCAGAACCTGACAGTTAAGAGTCCTAATTATGGCCTAATTAGTGATTCTTTTTTATTCTGCCCAGTGGTAGCTAGGTAGGGTTGAGAACATGATTTGTAGCTTTAGGTGTTCCTGAGGTCTCCTCAAACACTGAGACATTTAAGCAGTGGTTTAATTCCATTAAATTAATTCTATTAAAATAAATGTTAAAAGATTACTGTAGTTTAATAGTTGTAACTTGAAAATATTTTATCTAATCTTAAGAAAAATCTTTTAATATCCTAAAACATGACTGAAGTTTCAGAAAATACACAGGTTTTTCAGAAACAGATTGGGGTAAAATTCTGAATAAATGTGCTTGGGGAGCTGAAGTTAGGGTGGGGACATCATTGCATGTGATAATTATGGCTTGCAGCATCTTCAAACTGTTTACATGAGGTGAAAACAAGCGTCTATGACCTTCAAGGAGTGAAGGCTTAGAGTAAGAATGTGACTGATAATTGCACACCCACAGTTTCCATTTATCCTGACCTAAAAAGAAACTGGTTGTTGCTTCTGAATAGCTGAGATGTGATCATACAATTTAGAAAGGCGTACTTTGCCTAACTTAAAACTATAGCGAGTATTATTATGCATTTAAATAAAAAATTCTATCTGCAGAAGCCTGATGCTTGTGTTGTCTAGAGTTTCTGGACAGAACTTTTTTAGGAAAATCTTGACAGTAGCCAGAGTAAATAGGTTTTGATTTTCCTTATCATGGTGTTAATGGATGTGGAATTGAAGGATTTTTCCATTAAAGGTGCCACTTAATATTTGTGGTAGTTCCAGTGTTTGTAGTTCTCAGTAATCTTTTTATGGGCATAAACCACAGTCTGACACCTTTTTTTCTTACTCCCTTGTTTCTAATCTTTTTTAAATAAGAAAGTAACATAATGCCTTAACATTGTGAAATGGTCACTGGTTTACACTAAGTGATTATAGAAATGCTTGGAGGTAAATCTCGTTTGATAGAAGTCAGTGAAAGGAAAGCTTTCTTCTACCTTTTCTCTGCTTCTACTGTTGCCACCAAAGCCTTGCCCTAAACTGAATTAGAGTGGGGGTGTTTTACCTCCTTGTTTCTTTTATCCTTTTTTCACTAGAGTGCTCAGCTTGAGGAAGGGAAAATGGCACTTAAAGAGTATTTCATGTTATCTTCAAACAGTGCAGCTGCAGAGCTAAGTGCTGAGTATTGAGACATTTGAGAAGGGAAAGGAGAGAAGTGTCTCCAGCAGTCTGAGGGTTGAGCAGGATATCCATGACCTGTTTGTGCTGGCTCACTGTATGGGGTCAACATCACCCTGCACATGCTATGGGAAGAGTATTGTTCTGTGTAGAAAGTTTGTTTACATGAAAAGATAACTAAAGAGGAAACAAAGCAGGTACTGGAATTTCTGAAAGTGATTTATTTCTTGTTTTGCATTTCAGAGCACTGATCCTAAGTCGTCTGTAAAAGGTGTAAGTGGTCAGCTTGGAGAGGGGCCTAGTGATGGACTGCAGCTGTCCAGTAGCCTTCAGTTTCTTGAAGATGAACTCGTGTCTTCTCCTTTACCTGATCTTACTGAGGATCAGCCTTTTGATATTCTTCAGAAGTCCTTGCAGGAGGCCAATATTACTGAACAGACTTTGGCAGAAGAGGCATATTTGGATGCCAGTGTAGGTTCTAGCCAACAGTTTGCACAAGCTCAGCTTCATCCTTCTTCATCAGCATCCTTTACTCAGGCTTCTAATGTTTCTAATTACTCAGGTCAGACGTTGCAACCTATAGGAGTTACTCAAGTGGTACAGCAACCTGTTGGAGCATCTTTTGCAAGCAATACAGTTGGTGTGCAACATGGCTTTATGCAACACGTTGGAATTAGTGTTCCCGGCCAGCATTTGTCTAATAGCAGCCAGATTAGTGGTTCTGGGCAGATACAGCTTATTGGTTCATTTAGTAATCAACCTTCCATGATGACCATCAATAACCTCGATGGATCTCAGATCATACTGAAAGGCAATGGTCAGCAAACACCTGCAAACATGAGCAGTGGCCTCTTGGTTCATAGACAAACTCCAAATGGGAACTCGCTGTTTAGTAACTCAAGTTCAAGTCCAGTAGCACAACCTGTAACTGTTCCATTTAACAGCACAAATTTTCAGACTTCGTTGCCTGTCCATAATATCATCATTCAAAGGGGTTTGGCGCCAAACTCTAACAAAGTTCCTATTAATATCCAACCAAAGCCTATTCAGATGGGTCAGCAGACTGCTTACAATGTGAATAACTTGGGAATACAGCAACATCATGTACAGCAAGGGATTCCATTTGCTTCTGCAAATTCACCTCAAAGTTCAGTAGTTGGTCCTCATATGTCTGTTAATATTGTTAATCAACAACAAAATACAAGAAAATCAGTTACTCCTCAGACAGTTAGCAATGCTGGAGGTAGTATTGTTATCCATTCTCCTATGGGACAGCCTCATGTACCTCAAAACCAGTTTCTCATACCTACAAGTTTGTCTGTTAATTCTAATTCAGTTCATCATGTCCAGGCCATAAATGGACAACTTCTTCAGACTCAGCCTTCCCAGCTGGTTCCTGGCCAAGTGTCTGCTGAGCATGTAATGCTCAACAGGAACTCTACAAACATGCTAAGAGCCAACCAGTCGTATTCAGGACAGATGCTGAATAATCAGAACACAGCTGTTCAGCTTGTTTCAGGCCAGACATTCACAGCTCCTGGAAACCAAGTTATAGTAAATCATGGAACTTCCCAAATTGTCGGTGGACAGGTGCCACTGCAGCAGGCGTCACCAACGGTGTTGCATTTGTCACCCAGCCAAGCTAACGTTTCTCAAGGCAGATCGAGTTTTACCACCATGTCACCTGGGCAGTCCACAGTCTCAAATATGTCAGCTTCTAATCGATTTGCTGCTGCGAGTTCTTCTGGTTCAGTGCACCCCAGCCTGGGAGCATCAGTGCAGTCTGTCGCATCGGGAGGGAACTTCACAGGGGATCAGCTGGTCCAGAACCGAGCTCAAGTTGCCGTCAGTGCGTCGCATCGTCTTCCAGCATCCTCCTCCAAGTCTGTCAGCACCTTCAGTCACACGTCTGTGGGAGTAACACAACAACAGTTTGCCTTTGGTCAGGTATGAAAGCTGCTTGAGAATGTAGCCAAAGAAAGGCTTCTAAGCTGTGCTAAAATCTGGTTAATACTCAGAATGTTAATTTTGCTAGTTTGTTTTGTTGCAAATACTGTGGAACTGCTGAAAATTACTGTAACCCAGAGTCATCATTTCACTTGGTATTTTCTAAATCCGTCTGAGTGAACAATGCTGTCACTTTGGTTAATTCCCAAGATTTTGTTGGTCATTTATAGTAGTGTTTTCAAAAGTGCTTAGCATTGATCTAGTTCTGCTCCCGTTTAAAGGAATGGGCATTGTAAGTTTATACAATTGGGAACTCTTCTGTAAACTTTTCTGTAGGCTAGATGTAAAGGCTCAGGTTCATTCTTAGTGCTTAAAAGTCTTTTGATCTCACTAAAACCTGTGCATTTTCAAGGTTTGACTTACTGAAATTAGAGATGAAAAGGTTTCTTGGGCTTCTTTTTATTCTTTATCACATTGACACTTTTGTTATGTGTCTGGAGCAGTTAGAAGCTTGCAAATTTGATGCAAAGACAATAATGAAAATGTTTCTTAGTATCCTTAAAAAGAAATACCTTTTAAAGCAGTTTGTAAAAGCATAACATAAAAGAAAGCCCTCTAAGAAGTCAAGATAGTAGTTAAAAAAATCTGAATTCACTTTTAAGGTTTGATGTGGTCCATTTTGTCTAGTAGATAGCCTTGCAGTATATATTCAACTCAAATTTTTCTGTTTTCATAAGTGAACTTAAAAACAGTCAAAACTTTAAAAGATAAAAAATTCATAAAGTTCCAGAGTGAACTGCCAATTTTAACTCAGTGACTCAGTGACTTTTCACACAGTTTGCAATAAGCTATTCATTTTCAGTCCTTTTGAAATTTTTAAATTTTTTTTTTTTTAATTTAGTTTCAAATACTGGTCACTCTCTCAGAATGCATTTGCACCAATTAGATATTTTTCTTTTTTCTTTTACTTCTTTCTCTTGGATCTTACTCTTTTTTCAAAGGCCTGATGGATTTTTTTTTTTTTTTTAAACAAACCCAAAATCTGCAGTGAAATAATGCCTTAGAAAATGAGGCATAGTTAAAAAATTAGTATGAACATGATGTAGAAACACATTTGTAGGCTTTGCCAGGACTTCTGGTGCAGGTTGTAACATTTTGTTTGCAGATGAGTAATTTGAGGCCAGTCTGACTTTCTCTTCATGTGTCTGCATCTTCCTGTTTGCAGGTTATATGCTGGGTCAGTGAGTTTCAGCAGTTAGAAAAGCAGAGTATTTCTTATTGTTGTAAAAGATAATTTTGTTTTTTGCTGACATTTCAGAGCTGTAAGTTTACATAGAACAAATGCCACTATTTGCCATAATCTTTTTAGTCTGTTTGTACTTGCGTTTAAAACATTGTACTCTATACTAAACCATGTATCATTTAGTTGGTAAGTGGTGGAGGGTTTGTTCCACTGTGGGTATTTTTTGCTGGGAGAGCAAGGTTGTCATCTTGCAGTTTGGGAACTCTGAGACGCTGAGTTTTCTGAGGGCCACTTGTAGTGGGAAATCAGGGGTCTTGTAGAATGCACCTGGTATGTATTTGTGCTGTTAGTGTGATTTCTGTTCCTCTCTGATTTACTTTATAAATTTCTTGAACTTGGAGAAATGTGAAATTTCATGACTGATGATTTTGAAGTTAAAGTATACACAGAGATGAATTTTAGGTGTCTTTTCCTTAAAGCTTTCAGTAACTATTTCACTGTGATTTTTTAATTTTTTTTTTTTTTTTTGTATGTGGCACAGAAAAAGGCTGTGAACCAGACATCACCAGTTTCTGCATCGAAGACACAGGACAGTTTGAGACAGCCTCAGCTAACAAGTCTTCTGAGCAACACACTATCAGGTCAACTAAGGTCTTTTTAACATAATTTTCTTAATTTTCTCTGGCAACAGAGATTCGTTCTTCTTCAGGGTGTCAGACTTGCATTGATGCTTCATGCTCATAGGGTTCTAAAGGTTGTTGGAGTTTTGTTTTTAGAAGAATTCAAGCTATATTTTTTCAGAATTGAATGTGGGCTTTGATACTTTCCCAACAATGGCACTTCATTTTCTGGAGTGAAAAGTTGAATCTTCACAATTAGCAATTATTTCTCCCCTCTACAAAATCCAAAATTGTACCACCTTTAATTTTTTTTTTCTTCAGCTTAGCAAGATAGAAATAAGTGATTTTCAAAATACAGACATCTGCTAAAATTCCATGAAACTTCTAGAATGCAGTGGCTACTTCAGTTACAGAGGGAAGAGAAATAGGTATTGCAAGGTTAGGTGCAGGCTGTCATCGCTCACTTTGTGCTTGAATGTATCACTTTCAGTTAGAATAGTTCACGCGTTGTTCATGGCAAAATAGCAGCTTTTCAAGCAGCGCCCTGCTACTGAAAGAATAAAACCAGTACATTCAAGGCAAGCAGAAGAATGCAGTAACCTTCCTGTTCTCTTTGTACCTAAGTAACCTTTTGAATAAGGTCCTATATTCTTCCTTGTTTTTTATTTCCCTGTGTACTGCTATGTATAAGCCGTCCAGGCAATCCTATACAATCTGCGCAGTGTGCTGGGTGTCCTTGGGGAAAAAAACCAATAAATTCTTACTTGTTTCGGTGGTAGCATAGCACGACTAATAAGATGCTGTTTGGATTATGAAGCAAGGCAATTGGAAGAAGTCTGCCTATCTAAAAAAATCTAGGGGAAAAAATATGCTTGCTGTCTAAGAACTTCCAGGAGCTCTAGAAAAATTTGTGTAATACACTTGAGGAAGGGTTAGTATTGAAAAGCTTGATAAAATTTACTTTTTAGGTAAATTGTTGGGACACTAAACTTAAAATACTTGAGTTTCTTAAGTTGCAGTACCATGGTAGGATGTAATTTATACTTGAGGATTTTTGTGGTTTTCAGAATAAAATATCAGTCCTGTTTAATTTTTTGAGCTGTTTTTCTCCACAGGATAGCTGCACTAATGCTTTTAAGCATAAGATGTATCTTTCTTAAAAACTCACATAAAATTATCAGGATACGTACACAAAATTACTCTCCTCTTGCTTAAGATGACAAGAATCTTCTAAACTTTTTTTTATAGGACAGGACTCTGGAGGAAAAATCATACAACAATCTCTAGGAACAGCACAGTCACAAGAAAAAGTGATAGGATCATCATCAGTTCAGCAGAGTATACAGGTAGAGAATACTTCTATTTATATGTTTCTCTGTATATCCTGGTTTTGTCTGGGATAGAGTTAATTTTCTTCTTAGTAGGTGGTACAGTGCTGTGTTTTGGATTTGGGATGTGAGTAATGTTGATAATGCACCTGTGTTTTAGTTACTGAGCTGTGCTTACTCTGCAAATCCCCATGCTGTGCCAGTGAGGTGGTGCAGAGCCAGGACAGCTGGCCCAAACTGGCCAGAGGAATATCCCATACTATGGAACATCATGTTCTGTGTATAAATGTAGGAATTGCCTGGGAATTGCTGATCACTGCTCGGGAATGGGGTGGGCATTGGTCAGAGGGTGCTGTGCAATTGCATCGTGTATCACTTGTTTCTTCTGAGTTTAATTCCCCCTTTTTCTCTACTTCATTACAACTTTATAATAACTATCATTACTATGTTTTATTTTTTTTCTGTTTTTCAACCTACAAGGTTTACTTTTTTTCCTAATTTTCCTCCTCTGCTGGGAGGTAGTGAACTAACAAGTAAAGAATCATTGTAGGTTTTTTGTAGAGTGTATGAACCGCCCTCAAACTTGACAAATTCTACTTTGACGTAATAAATGTTGATTATTTTGCAAGTTGATACATTGAATGGCACTTTGAAATTCAGTTCAATAAGTGGAGTCTGACTGTACTGTTCTCTGAAGATAATTTTGTATGACATAGCAATTCTTCATTGAGTTGGCCAAAAGTTCAACCTACTCTTCTCATTATTTTTTAAAAACTCAGCTGTTCTCTAGCTGGGAGAGAGTGCTTTGTGAGAAGTAGCAGAAAAGTTCCACCTGGTCTTTGTCTGTTTTATTCTTTACTGCAGTTCTCTTTCTTTATCATCAAAAGTTCTCCTACATAATGCTAGTATGTATGAAAACACTCTGCAGGATGAGGTTTTTTGGGGAGGATGTGACTTAGAATTTTTGTCTGTAAATGTATTTGTCAATGCAGTAGGACAGGAATGTTTTTCTGTCTTACTGATGTATAAGTAGAGCAGAAGGTACAGTAGTGCTCAGTTATGAGGTCATCCTAGTTGTGTAATAGTTGGTCAGATGTTCGTTCTGCTTGGTGGTGACTACTTTTTATGCTCTGAGGTTTGAGGTTTTTGAGGCAAATACTATTCCAGTGTGCCTGCTGTGAGTCTTTACCCCCTCAGAGAACCCAGGTCTTAGAGTGTTCACAGGAAAAATCTTGATTTCATTAAATGTCTAAGCAAAGGAGAAAATGAGTTCAGTCTCTACCTGATGGGCATATCTGTGGCATTGACACTGAAATAGAATTTCTAGAATGACTTTTACCACCCCTTAGCCACTGTGGCTTTTGACAATTTAAGTGCACAACCTTAGCCTGCTTTCCTCACAGATACTCTCATCCATCAATATCAGGGAAGATGCCATCTTCTGAGAAATGCAGACAATTGTTATGAGCAGATTTGTAAAAGTTCTTAGTTATACCTTTCCTTCTTTGCACCTGTTAAATTTGATCATCTCTTAGTGAAATATGTATAATGCACAACAGTGGAATTTGTCTACAAACAGCATTTCAGACCTTTGGTTCATGTCACTTCCGTATTTTGTGGATGCGGTGCCTTGTGAAAATAGGGGATAGTTGAAAGTGTTTATACTTATGTAGTGGTTACAGTTAGTGTTGGTGATGTACCTAATTGACAGAAACAAATCCTGAAACTTAGGCTTTGCAAATAAGGAGATATATTGTAATTTGTCTTTTATTTTGAACTTAGGTGGATGGTCATTTAGTTGGACAGAAAAGGCCTGCTGCTAAACAGTTAACTAAAGGAGCTTTGTAAGTCGTCGTTTCATTGTAATTTTGTTTCAGAAACCTTAATTTTTACTTTTGTCAATGTAAAAACTGTACAGTACATTAAATATATATCATTGATTTTTTTTGTAGTATTCTGCAGCAATTACAGAAGGATCAGGTACATGCTGTGACACCAGATAAAAGTCGGTTCAGATCATTAAATGACGCAGTTCAGAGACTCCTTTCATACCATGTGTGCCAGGGGTCGCTGCCAACAGAAGATGATTTAAGAAAAGGTAATTTTCTTTTTAAAATTTGACGGTAAGTTTGTAATCAGCATATTGAGATAATTCTTAATGTAAATTAGAGCAATAAGAAAAAGAACATTTTAAAATTTATGCAGGTTATTGAAGAACACTGTTTGAAAGTGTCCTTTGTCTTTCTAGTGGACAGTGAATTTGAATCGGTAGCTACACAGCTTCTGAAGAGGACGCAGGCTATGCTGAACAAATACAGATGTTTGCTTATAGAAGATGCAATGGTAAGGTGTAGAACCCAGGTACACTTTGTTTATGGGGTGGGATTCAGTTTGTTAAAAAATATCTACAGAACAGGCACATGAACTTCTGTTCTCTGCTTTGCTCCTACACTGAACAGGCTGTGATAGTCAAGAGGGTGATTTCTGTGTATTTCTGTGGCTCATGGAACCTGAAATAGTGTTGATGTTGTCCATTCAGAGGCCTCCAGCCATATTATAATTGAAGCCAAATGATATTACAGTTTAGGAAATCATTGTCCTTAAAAGCTAGGTGGAACTTCATCAGAAGTTCTTCTGATATAAGTGCTTTCACAATCCCAGGCATGAGGTAAAATAAAACTGAGAAAGTTACTTTAAGAATGTATTTTAAAAGGATCAGGAAATGCCATTGTGACTTCAGACATGCAAGTTTTCAAGGAAAAGTTTTGAATTTGAGTATAATAGACATTTAGATATTTAGAGACAGGAATACATAATATAACTGTTAGAATTAATATGGCTTTAAAAGCTAGCAGTTGTGTTGTAAAAGGTTCTAGCCATTAAATATTTGCAGGTGTTTGCAGGTGCAAAGAGAGGATGGAGGTTGAGATTTGTTCTTTTAGCATCTAGTACATTGTATGGCAAATCCCATTTAGTAATTTTGAAAAGTTTATTTCACATAGCATTCAAATTTGAAACCAGTTGCCTGTGTTATGGCCTAGTGCAGTGAACATTTTCTGTGATGGATGGATCCCACTGACTTGAAGACATTGTTAGCAAAATGCAGCTCTGCCACCTAGTTACAAGGATGGGAGAGAAGTGCAGGGAAGATGATAGGGTGGTCCCAGTTCAAGGTTTTTGCTAGTTGATCCCCTAAAAGAGAAGGATACTGTATGAAGTAAAAAAATTGTGGTATACAGTAGTAAGCATACTCAGTCCTGAAAAAGTACAATTGATATAACTGGAATAGCAATTGTCTGGTTTAAAGTCTTTCCCAAATAAAATATGCAGTACAATGTGAGTAATATTTCATGATTGAGTTTCAGTAGTGGTTGGGTCAGAGTCAGGACTGTTGACTTGTGAGTGTTCTTTGCAAATACATAATAAAAGAAATTTCTTTTCCTCTGAAAATTAACTAAGCTATCAGTGTTTTGATTTGGTACCAATATGAGCCACTACAGAGATTGGTTGTTTTTTTTCTTTTCCTCCAGCGGATAAATCCCTCTGCAGAAATGGTTATGATTGATAGGATGTTTAACCAGGAGGAAAGAGCATCTCTGACCCGGGATAAGCGTCTTGCACTTGTGGATCCTGGTAAGTAATGCTTAACTTCTAAATTAAGCTTGCAGTATTTAAAAATAGTTGTGGCCACAGTGAGGCAGTGATTTCTACGGATTCCAGTTATTGAAATCCTGAATAAGCATTTGCAAGTTAACTTTTTATAACTCCAGAATCCAACAATCCAGAAACACCGTAGGGTTGAAGCAGTTATTTGTGGGGAAAACAGTATTTTACCTGTTTGGCAGAGAAATACTTGAGCTTCTTTTGACAGCAGTCATGACTCCTGCAGTGCCTCCATTCTAGCAGGGAAGAATCCCTGAGTATGCTTGCAGCCAGAAAGAACAGCACTATTTGAAGCATGACTAATCTTGTTCATTGTAATGAAGTGTTACTCTTAGAGTGTCATGGCCATTTAAATGGCAGCATTTTAAACTGGGATATTGTTAAACACAGCACCTGGAAACACATTATTTGTGTAAGATTACTGCTACTATTTGTTTAAAGGTTCTGCATGATCTGCATATTTTAAAAGATATTCACAGGTGTTGTAGAAATTATTAATCTTCAGAGACCATATTTGCATATTTAGAATGCTGGGAGGTGCCCTTAATCTGGTTTTCCAGTGCACACACGTGAACAGTGTGCTGATTAATTTAGTGCTAATCTCATGCACTGTATGCAGCAGAACACTTAAGCATATGAACATCTCTTAAAGACCCAGATCTGTAAGCTGTGAATATTATTTGAATTTAAGTACTTAAGAACTGTTGGAGTGTCAGTTATTTGGATGTGTAGGCAATTTTAGTAAAATGTTGCTACTTAATTTTCAGATGGTTATCAGGCCGATTTTTGTTGTTCTGCCAAACAATTTGAGAAAACAGCTGAAGAAGCACAGTCCAGCAAAAGTGACCATCAGTCTAGCAAAACATTACCTTCTCGAAGTCAGACTACCAAAACCCAAGCCAGAGACCGACCAAAATCCAGCTCAGCAGAGTCCACAAATCACAGTAAACTTCCTCTAGTGCCTAACAACATTCTGACACCGCAAGAAGGAAAAGCTTCCTCTAAAAAATCTGAGAGCCTCACTAAAGCTTTAAAGTTTGAAAAAGCTAATTGTTCTTCTGAGAGCCAATACTTGGCCCTTTCTGAAGAAAGGATGAGTGGGAAAGATCTTGCCAAGTCCACTGAGAATTCTTCGAGTTCTGAAGACTTGTCAAAAATTGTGTCAAGAGGCAGTCAAGGAACACACAATAAAATATCAAGGAACACAGTTCAGTCTTTCTCAAAGGTAACGTGTAATAACTCACTTCAAGACAAAACTCTGAGGAGCTCTCCAAAGAATGAGGTTTTGCATCCTGATAACAGGAAAGGCTCTGGTGAACCCCAGCAAGACTTACTGCTCAGTAAGAGTTTAGAAACTACATTTAAAAACATCTTGGAACTTAAAAAAGCTGGGAGGCAGCCACAAAATGAGGCGGCAAGTAGTGGCTCGGTTGAATTAGAGTTCCCTAATTTTTCACCTATCGCTTCACAAGAGAACTGCCTGGAAAAATTTATTCCAGACCACAGTGAAAGTGTTGTAGAAACTGACTCTATTTTAGAAGCAGCTGTAAATAGTATCTTAGAGTGTTAATAGTTACAGTACCATGGACAAGTTATGTTTCTCTTAGCAGAAGCAAATGTGAATGACACCACAAGTACAGCCTGACATGCATTTAAGATTAACCTTTCTAAACTAGATTCTGTTCTGTGTTTGAGAGCAATACTCATTGTGGTTACAGTGAGATATCCAAGTAAAGTTAATCCTTGTTAGAATGCAGTCTGTTAGGGCCTTACTGTTTCAAGTATTATGATAGTGCTTTTGATAATTGAGCAGTACTGCAATGTAACAGAGTTGCAGGTTGTTAGGCCCTATGTAATACGGTATAATATACTGACAATCACAGTCATTTGAAAGGATATATTTATTGAGAAAATGTTTTTAAAGAGTGATGGAAGCAACAATTCTCCCCTACCCTTCTCTTCCACAAATCGTCAAAATTTTAGTTTTTCTGGAAAACCCACTGTACCTCTATTCAGAAGTGATTATTTGCTTTGTTAGGATTCTTAAGTTGGAAGGAAATCATCAGTGTGTTTACAAGGCTTCATAATTTAAACTTTAAGTGCTTTTCTATTGCTTTCTGAGCAGAAACTAGTACTTGATATATTTGTAGTGGGTAACTTTAGTCTGTGGGATGATATTATATGATCTTAGTCACAGTGGCATGATATGAAGTAATAAATGCTTGACTAAGGAAGGTAGAATGGAAGCCAGTAAATAGCAAAGTGTACAGGATGAGGCCATGATAGAGCCATGAATTTATATATATAATACATATATATGTTATCTCTTGAGGAAAAGATTTTGCATTTTATAATTGGATGTAGTCAGCCTTGAGTCTTTCTGAAGTGGTATAAATGTTTTTTTTTTGGCTTTTTTTTGTTTTTTTGGTGGGTTTTTTTTTTGTTTGTTTGGGGTTTTTTGTTTGGTTTTTTGTTTTTATTTGTTGTTTGTTTTTTTTTTTAGACCAAGTGTCAAAAGCACTTTGATTTGAAAACTGTATTTGTAGCCTATATTTTAAGAGGATGTTAGCCTTACTCTGATTAAATTTAAAGGCCAGTGTTTATTTTTGATTTTTTTGCTTTTTGCTCTCAGAGAATGTTAAATCATCCACCATAGCAGTCATAATTTCAAGATATGTACAGACCAAAGTTGATCAGCAATCCCATTGTTTAAACATATCAAAAAATGTGTAATTATTAATTCATATTGTAAAGCCAAGTGAAACCATTGCGTGGTTTGTATTTGGCTTGCTGTCATGTTGTTAAGATAGAATCTTATTATTTTATTTATTTATTTTAATCTATGACTCTTTTTTTTTTTTTTGCTGCCCATGCTGCTTTGTTCTAGTTTACTTTGGTCATGAGTGCTTTTGTGCACATAAGCGCGCTGACGTTCGTCACGTGTGTGTAGTACATATGTCTGCTCAGGAGGATACAGCTTTTGTGGTTTCTAAGGTATGCTCATGTTCTCCCCCCAGAACTTCTCCACCATTTCTCAGAAACATTACCAGCCATTTCCCAGACTTGCTGATTTTATGATTTTCATGATGTAAGAGGCTCATTGTGACAAGCTGTGGTTGTCAGTCAGATTGCCAGGAGAGAAACCAAAAGGTTTTGCTGGTGTGTAATTCAGTCCCTCTGAATGGCATGGAAAGAAGCAGAATTAGATCCTTGGGATAGTAGAACGTTACAGTGCAACTCAGTATTGAGCTACAGTCCACTGTCTGACCACTAAAGGAAACCAAATCTAGAAAGCAATGAGAGAAAGATGAACTTCCTTAAAATTCATTTCCCCTTCAATGTGAATGGAAGTACTGGTTTTGTATGTTACTTATTGCCATTTAAAAAAATTGTGCCAATTTTAAAGTACATGTTTGTAAAAACCCAACATTCCCAAGTGTTCTAGGAAATATTAAGTATTGCCAGTTTTAAATTTCTAGTTGGGTGTCCACAGAATAGAGACTCAGGCAGTTAGTTGTTTTCTTATTGGCAAAACTGACAAGATAGTCTTCACCTATTGCCTTTTTAGATTTAATAATATTCTCATGGCTGTGTATCCTGATGCATATTTTATTTTATCTCTTTGGAAATGTAACCATTCTGAACTATTTAAGAAGGAGAGCAGTAAGTTACACAGCTGTATATTAACTAGTTAAATTTTTCTTTTATTGAGAAAAAAAAAGTGAAGTTGCACATTCATCAGTCCCCTTGCTTATTGTACCACCTCTAATGGGTATGGGGTTTCCAGCCTCTCTACAGCAAATCCATAACTGAAGTAGCAGGGTATGTGTCTTCTATTGGGTCTCATTGGGAAGGGGGGACAATGGCATATAAAAATGACAAACGCAAAAAGTAATCGTGGTTTATTTGGTCAGACACATTTCTCTGAACTCTGATGAGAGGAACCCCTTGAACAATCCTAGTAAGATTGATCTTAGATTGTTAATGTCGTGTCATTCACTCCTTTGAATTCAATTCTAAAGGAATTCTGGTACGTGGTGAAGCAGTAAATGAAAGAATTGTATTTTTGTGGTGCTTAAAAAAAGTTCATTAATCATATGGGCTCAAGTCCAGCAAAGTATTGTGAATGTGCATGACTTTAAACATGTTTTCATTATTTTGCTGGATCAGCATTGTGATTTCAATGTTATTTAATACTGCCTAATATTAAAACAAATTTTAAACTGGCAATTAAGAAAACTATGTTCATTTTGAAGATTTTGGTATAATTTATCTGTTAGAGTAGGGAGGCCTTACAGACTGACTTCACTTAAAGAGGATGTGTCACTTATTGTCAGCGTGGTATGGACTTTATTTGCTTAAATACCTTCATTTGTAAAGTATGTCTCACTTGAAATTGCTTTGTATACATTTTGTAAAAATATTTATAAAATGTTTTGTAAAAAAAAAAGTATAACAAATTGCAGTTTATTTTGTTATGTTGGATAAATACTGTTAAAAGACACAAGTCAGTAAATATATTGTTAATCCATGGATAGGAAATGTTTAGTTGGAGATTACAAATTGAAACAACCATTGCAATACAGCCAAAGATTTGGGAAAAAATGTCTATCTGTGATTGTCTTGATTTAACCAAGTTGAGTATTTACATTTCCAAAAGATGATTGGTCTCAGTTTTAAGTAATATGACTACAAAATATTCTTGCTCTGCTTTTCATGATGCAGCTCTGTTGTAATATACTTAGTAGGTCAACTTCCCATACTCTTTATGCATCTTTCTGAACATACACCATAGGATTTGGTTCGTGTGGCATTATAACTATGTTCAGCAGTGTTAATCTCCAAATTACAAGAGAGCCAGTGGTTCTGCCTTGTTGGTATTTCTAGTCTTGCCACAGCGAGGTTCTTGAGACATGCTCTCCTTCTCTCTGGTGTATTTTCACAAGGTAGAGGAATCATCTTCCTGGTGCCCCAGGGAGAGGGAAGATGAGAGGGCTTTTGTCAGTGAAGTGGCTGCTGCACCCACGCTGCAGGTTTGACTCACATCAGCTGCATTTAGTTCTAGACACCTGTGTTTGGGTATTTTGTGAGAAGATGCTGCAATTGCAGATGCTGCAACATGTCTTCCTACTTTTATTAGAGGGATGATGAACCTTTCCTTACTATGATTGAATTTTTCAGAGAGTATGCTGACACTCTGATCTAGTAAAGCACTTTTGCCTGGAACTTCCTTACTTTATTTTTGGAGGATGTGGAAGTGGAGCATTGGTGAAGGGCACTACCTCTCATCCTGGAGTAGGGCTTGCACTGTTGAAAGGTAGAAATCTTCATGGTTAGTATTTGTTATTTTGTCAATGAGACAAAATAAAAGTGCCTTTTGAATGCTTCCCACGTGGATTCAGACAGTAACAAAATGAATAAAATCAGTTACATAATATTTTAAACCCTTTTTGGGTTAGGATGGCTAAGCATCTTGTTTTTTTGTTTCATATACCTGTAGAATCACCAGGCAAACCTTCTGCATTGCTAAACATTTTATATGAAGTCTACTGTGCAGGTATCTTCACCTGAGAATATCTTTGTTATAGGAACATGGTGTATTTTTTATTGCTTTTCAATAGCATTTTTATACTGGGGTTTGTTATGTTTATTCCAACGTATGGGGTTGAATTTTGGAAGATTTGGGCGTGTATGTTAATGCACAGCTGATTGAAGAAAGTCAAAACAACATTCATCTTGAGGATCTCAATGAAGGAAAAAAAAACAGATTGGCAGAAGGAAAGGTAAGTAAACAATTTTAAAACTTGGAGGAATTCCTCTCTTCTTCAGTAAGTTGGTTTTTTTGTAAGCCTTTGAATTTTTCCTTTCAAATCATACACACTTTTCCATGGAGTTTTCACAACAATGCATTTGTCAGCTTCAAGAAGTGGGAGAAATTGTCTTTGTGACTGGGGGTCAGCTCTCACTTTAGTTAAAGAAAGTCACTGTAGGAAAGAAGCAAGGTCTGGTGAAAATCTGCTCATAGCAGCTCTGGTGCACAGGTGCAATGCATGTACAGATTTCAGATAAGTAGTGGTGGGTGTACTGAGTTATTTGTGAATTATGAATTGGCATTTATGAGTGCTGCTAATCTTGCAACTGGTCATTGTATTGGACATGGAAAAAAGTGTGTAAAATAATGAGCTACAATAGGTAAACACCAAGTAAGCTTGAGGGAGCTTCTACTAGGGAAGAAAACCACCAAGGACACAGACTGTCTAGCTGAACCAATATTTTTGGTGTAAAAATGAAAACCTTTACAGTTGCCCTGCTGTGTGCTGAGGATAAACCCTATTTTATTTTTTTTCTAGAGTTCATATCTTTCCTTGTGGGGAAAAAGTATTTTATAAATGGAGGAACTAGCTGCATCAGAATTTAAGGCTTCTGTATTTTATGTATTTATATGTATATATACACACATATATATATGCCAGGTGGGGGTTTACCTCTTCTCCCAGGCAGCTAGTGACAGAATAAAGACTCAAGCTGTGCCAGGGGAGATTCAGGCTGGATATAATGGGAATTTCTTCACTGAAAGAGTTGTCCATCACTGGAATGGACTGGGAGTAGAGTCACCATTGCTGGAAACCTGATATAGCTCATCTCAAAGTGTGGCATTGCTGGGTGTATCTGGAGCTGACAAATGTCCAACAGCATAAAAATGCATGGAGTTCATATAATTGAGATTGAACAATTCCACGTTGCTTTCATGGCAAAATGAATCGGGGATTTTGGAGGCCTCTGTTACCAAGGGCAAATCAAGGCTGGATACTGAGTGCTCAGGAACAGGGACTTGGAAGCCTTTGTGTCCAGAGAAGGAAATTCACATGAGGCTGAAGGAGGAGAGGCTCCAGGGTTTGAAAGAGATGAGCAGAAAGGTGAGTAGGTGTGTGTGGGAGGGATTTTTGGGGGATCTGAGATTTAAATGACTTAAACTTGATTTTTAGACACAGCAAGTTGTACAGTATTATATCTCTTTATGTACTGGATAATAACATAATTACCATAATATTAAACACTGCTCTTTTTTACTTTGCAAGTGGATGGAGAATGGATAAATATTTACTCAGTTGAGGATTTGTGTATCTTAACAGTTGCAAGGATGGGCTCACACACCGTTTGAAAGCTGTTTGTGAAAGAACATATCTAATATGCAAGGTTTGATGTTAATTTGAGCAAGGACATTGCTAGAAACTATGAGTCAGTTCCAAAGTATTGTGGAATGGGGGAGATATTTTCATGCTCCTGAAGGAGTGCCATTGACAATGTAGGCCTTTACTAAGAGGTAAGGAAGGTATGGAATCTGTTTGTTTCTATACTTTTTTTTCCCTGAGGTTAAATTTTCCCCAGTG